AGAAATAGAAGAGAGCAAAATAAGAGATACCATAAGAGAGGGAGCCATTATAGGTTTAAAAAGAAACCAGGCACTAAGGAAATGTCTAGAGATCTACAAAGATGACACCAACTAACAATCTAAGCAACAGTGGAGAGGCCACCTTAAATGCCTTCCCCTGATAATGAGATTGACAACTAACTTATATGCCACCCTATAGCCTTCATCCAGCAGCTGAGGAAGTAGAAGCAGATAGCCACTGCTAAACACTGAACTGAACTGGAATCCAGTTGCAGAGAAGGATGAATGATGACCAAAGGGGTCAAGACCAGGCTGGTGAAACCCACAGAACCAGGTGACCTGATCAAGGAGGAGCTCTGGGCCCCCCGCCCCATGAACATGGGTGTCAGTGAGGAGATCTCAGAAATCTTTGGATCCTCTTGGAGTAGATCAGTACTTATCCCTAGCATAGGTATAGACTTTGGGAGCCCATTCCATATAGAAGGATACTCCCTCAGCCTAGACACACAGGGGATTGGCCTAGGCCCTATCTATCCCAAAGGATATGACAGATTCTGAAGAACCCCCGTCATGGAAGGCCTCACCCCCCTGGGGAGCAGAAATGGTATGGGATAAGTAGGCTGTTAGTGGTGGGCAGGGGAGGAGGGAAGGGAGAGGGAACTGGGATTGACATGTAAAACTATCTTGTTTTTAATTTTAATTTTAAAAAATGGAGAAAAAATTAGTCTTTCCTAATGATGGAAAGTGAGTTTAGGGGCTAAACCAATTAGCCCCTAATTGGTTTTCCAACACCTTTGTGAGTCTTAGAAAGATATACATGCAGGTGATATCACACTTACTGATCATGTTGTATTTATATCTTGATTCTCTTGTGTGTTTATGTAAGATCATAATACTAAAGAAAAGTATGAATTAGAGGAGCTTGGACATGGGAAGTATAGAAAGGAGGAGGGAAGTGATTCATTTTAAAATTATAAGTGAAGAGTAATACTTGGAAAATATTTAAATGGTTACAATTTTTTACTATGGTTTATCCCTTTTCCCTTTTGTTCTGTTAGTTTCCTTTTGCAGTGCAGAGTATTAAAAGCCGGGTCCTTAATAAATTAGGTAAAGGTTTTAATCAATAAATCATACTCCAAAATTTTAGTCTAGAGCTTTTAAAGTGTATTGTATACAGGAAATATAAGACCTCAAGTTTAGTAAAATGAAGCCACTGATGCTGTCGAGGTCTCCTTCCTTTGTTCTGTGAGGTCAGGATTTATACTATAGATGCTGTGTTGAAGAGAAATCAAGCTTATTAATTATGTAGAATTGAGCAGAATTATGACCAGTGGGCAGTGTTTAAATTGCTGCTCACTTAGCTTCAAAAATCTGGTGCCAGCCATTTCTGAAATGAACCAAACTCGCCATTATCAGCTGATAAAAATATCATTTAAGAAATTGTAGGAACAAGTTAAGAATGGGTAGAAGGTGCTAGAGTTGTATAACATTTGTCATTTACTTTACTAAGAAATTTAGCCTGCAGGAAAAACAAAATTATGAAACCAGTTAGCTAGCCTAAGACCAAAAAGGTTAGAAAGTACACTTTCTCAGAAATAAGTGACACTCTTTATTGTAATTCTCAGAAAAAGAGAAATCAAAGTTGAATAATATTCATGGGAACATTGCTCTCCTGACGTCTCCTGGTGGTTCCTAGTGTTGGTATGGGAATCCAAGGAGGCAGATCATGCAAGAAAGTTTAATTGCCTATAAGGCTTACAAGAAAATGTAAGCCAGAGGGAAATCTTTGCATTAGAATCCAAATGTAAAGTTTAAGTTAGGAAATTAGTGAATGATAATAAGGTCAAGTGTAGCAAAATATCAGTGAAATTCTTCTAAAACATTATCACTTGAAATAAATGTGTGTACTTGTGAGAAATGCATGCTCTCAGCTGATCAACTTATTTACTAATAAACTTCCTTCAGTGATAGTGAGGCTATAGTTATTTAAACAGTGAACAAAGAGAACATCGGTGATAAAATGTTAAAATTTCTGTAAAGAAAGACATCTACTGGGAAATAATTATTTAAGCCATTAAAGAAACAGACAATGGTTTGACACAGAGAGTAAAAGTATAAAATATTTCTAAAGAAAACAATGTCTAAAAAGTTTAATACAATTTCTGACAAGTTGTCCTTGAGGTTTATGTGTTTCTCAAATGTACATCTTCATTTGTATGACTTAAAAATGCTATGTAGTTCTAGTATATCTTTTTGTAATTTTTGAAAAATTAATTTTACATTTTTTTTCCTTTTCTCATAGAATCTTGACTTCAACCTCCCCTCCTGCCATACCTGTCCGTCCCTCTCCCCACACCTTAGCTCTCCCCTAGATTCATTGTTGCTGTTTCCCTTCAGGAAAGAGAAGGCCTCCAGGGAATATCTGCCGAATAATAAGATTCAATAAGACTAGGCACAAGCCCTCTTGTTAAGGCAGGATGAGGCAACATAGTGGGAGGAAAGGGTCCTAATAGCAGGCAAAAGAGCAAGAGATACCCCCATGCCCACTATGAGAAGTCTCACATACAGCAGAGTCAGCTGCCTGAGCCAATAGGCCCTTGGGAGGGGGTATAAAGGCAGACCTAGCTTCCTGAGTCTGCAGTCTGCTCTGCTGCTCACTGACTCCCAGTACAGGGGTCATTGGTGCTGTGACCTCTCAGCCCTACCCCAGGAGGGGTCCGAGCAGGGTCACCCGCAACATCTGGAGCCTAGACATGGGGCTCGTGGATCCCGTGCTGGCCTGGGTCTCCACCACGCTTGACTCAGGGTGTCACCACAGCTGATTTTTGGATCCTGGTCTTTGCGTTTTGCTGCTGGCGGTCCATCCGTGGATGGAGCCTATGTGGATGCAGGGTGCACTTTCGCTTTCACTATCTGCCCCCTCTAGGACTCCTCTTCGTGCTTGCAGCCTGTTTTGGTGCCCCCTCTTCTGAGACTTGTTCGGTGAGTTGGCCCCCTTCGTGTTTCATGTGTTTGGTCCTCCTGAAGGTGAGCGTGGGGACCCTCCTCTTTTTCTTTCTGTCTTTTCCTTCGTGTCTGTCTGGTACCCCTGGTGCATTAGGTAGAAACATCTGCTACACTGAGGTCTGACACGCTTACTGTATTTGTTCAAGTCTGTCTTTGTTTTAGACTTTGTTCTTGTCTATGTCTCTTGAAATCAGGAGAGTGAGAAACTTACCCTCCCCCTGTAAGGAGCCTCAGGTGAGGGCATTAAAATCACCATTGGTTACCAGGTGCCTAAGGTTAAGACTGATCTGGATCTGGAGGTATTCTGGGATGAGGCCGTAGTGCTGGCCCCCTGGATTTCTCCAGAAAACATGGGGAGCCTGACCTCTGCGTGGGTGTGCTCTGTCTTGCCCAAA